GAAAATCGACTTTTCTCTCTCAAGCTAAGACTGGACCTTACTGGAATTACTTTTTCCATCTGATCTAGAAGCAGGTCTGTACTTGAGCAAGCATGATGTAATAACTTGCCTGTCCCATCCTACCAGTGCCACAGGAACTGCAGTGAAAGGAGAGATTAGTTTTGACCTTTACAAACAGTGTTTTTAATACAAGAGAATTAGTTTACTCTCTTGATCTGAGTACATGAAGGTATTGAACTCCAAGGCGTGCTCAGTATGGTAGAGAATTGCTGTGATGAGTACCCTCGTGTCCAACTTATAATATTCCTTTGTTCCCACTCCGCGTGAACTCCAGCAGAAAGGATGATAAGCTTCCAGTATGGCTTTCAGAACCCTCCATGTCTCTAGATTCCCTACAATGTCTTATTGTCTCTTCTGTTTCTAAATCCCCCTTCCCCCCAATCCACTCATGCTCCTGACCTGTTGCAAACCATCAGGAATCTGTGGACTTTAACACTGSTAATGCTTTTATCTGTGCAAACCAAGACAATCAATATCAGGCTTTCATACTTTGACTTGCATAGTTASATAAAATTTGCATATCCAAAGACAGCCCTGCTGAGGATCAGCTACTTCTGCTTTTTGCAAGACAATCTGAATCCAAATTATCAGTTGGGATGCAAGTGCACAATAAGTCACTGATGTAAGGGCATCTTATTCCCCCTGCAATTCAGCAGAGCCTGCTTTAATATGCAGTGTGCTCTGAAGAGCCACCACTGCTGAGCCATCTAAGAGGATTCCTGTGGTTTTAAATTTCAGGTTTTCAAATTCAGCCTGGAAATCCACCCATCACTTTTTAAAAGTCATTTTAAAACTCCAGACACGTCCTGGCCCACAGTCATACTGTACCTCCCACCCTGGCCATACCTACAATTTGCCATGTCCAGCTCAGCCATCTGTTCCTAAACCAGGAGCTACTCCCTGAKGTACAACTGGTTATTCACAAGCATTATTTGGATGTCAACATCAGTGAGCTACACACAGCCCCAAACTGCCCTGTAACTGAACCAAGTAAACACATTCTAACAAAAGCTGAAACAAAAATAAATCCTTGGTACATTAGTGCACAAACTGTGCTACTTCAGTTTCTGGATGCAACTCACTTGCTCCCAAGACAGTTCTCAAAGTTTAAGTTTTCTGTCTCTTATCTGTGTGTTTTCTGTCTGAATAAACGCCCTGTTCCTAACCCACTTTCCATGTCTATTCTTTATTTATGTGTTGAAACTCAGTAAACATTATGCAAATATCAAAGGGTATATTTACTAAGCAAGCATTTCAAAATCAGGAATTGCCATCTGATCAGACACGTGGAACCAACCTGAGGGAAGATGCTTCAGAAGTACTGCACTCAGCTCTGCAACACGTGTAATGTTGCCCTACACTGCCTGTGTGAACATGTCAAAATTCCCAGGGAACCATAAGAAATTAAGACCTCGGAGTTCCCTGTGGAAACTACAATTATTTTCTTGTTTTAGTTTTCTCTCACTACGAGTGTTGAAGATGCACCTGTAGAAAGCTGTAATTTTAAATACATAATAGCTCCTGCCAGGGCAAAGGAAGGAGACCGCAGATCTGCTGGCGTGTAGATGTTACAATCCCTACTGCTCCCATACCCCAGTGCTGACTGTGCTCCAATGTCAGTTTTTGATTATTGATGGATTCCATCACACCCCCCAGCATTTACCTTACAAGGCTGAAATCCTGTTTCTTCATATCAGCATTATCCTCTGGAATATTGCGAGCCAAGATGCCTAATTACAAACAACAGTGCATATTCATTAAAATAGAACTAAATCACCAACAGGTTTTTAATTCAACATCACCCTTCAGACTGTGCTTTTTGCCTCATTGACTTTCTATCATAACTTTCTCATTCTAGTTCAGACAACACTCTGAGTCYCTGCTCCTTTATTCCACTTCAGAGAGTCTTTGGCTGTTCAAATTCCACACTAACAGGTGTTCTTCTCCCAGTGCTAAATCCTACAGCACTCCAAGTACTGACTAGCAATCTCAACAATGTACTTTACAAGCACTGAATTGCTACCCTTGAAACAGTGAAACTGTCATTAAGGACTTCATGGGAGAGAAAAAGGGCACCTGCCCTATGAGACAAGGRAAGCAAGAGAATGAACAGTGTGGGAGGCTGGTGGGGTCCAGAAACTCAGAGAAACGTGATGGTGACAGAGTGGCAGCGTAAGCAACAGCACAATCCTGGGGTCAGCAACATCAGAGATTGTCTCCAGCCCTCAGGTATGATGGATAACAGGCTCCACTTGAGGTACCTCAAGCATAGCAACAGGAGATGAAAGAGCACATGGATTAATGTGCAGATAGACCAGTTATCAGAGATCCTCACTGCTGAAGAGGAGCCAGAGAATATGAGAGCATGCAGAAATCCCCCACTGAAGACCACCCTGTTGTGCTCCTTATGCTGCACAGCAGACCCATGCACAGGTTAAACTCAGTGAAGCTCCCTGCCCCAGCACRTCTGCAGCTGACTCTGCAAAGGCATTCACAGAGAAGCTCTGTCACTTATAGCCCCGGGGAGAGAGCTCTGCTAACTGCTGAGATGCCAGCATAGCAACAAGGAAGTAATTCAGCCACCCCACACTTTCTCCACCCTGTGGCTTTTCACCTCTCCTTCTGCTCCTGGGGCGAATCTRCTCTCATTACTCGGCTCTTCCACACAACTTTTAAAGAAGACATCTGTCAACCCCTCCTTCCCACCCTCCCTGCCCCCTATTAAAATGAAAAATGTATTAGCAGAAACACACCAGCATGGACTGCAGGATGAAGGGTTTTCACGCGTCCGCCCAACATCTCGGGGAAGCCAGTCAGGTCAGAAACATCTCTGTCCAAGGAGAAAAAAACCACGGTAACAGATGTGCCACACTGACTTCATCTAAAGGTTGAATGACCCAAAGCAAAAAAGGTGTATAAATTCCACAACAAAACTCTCCTATACTAAAGGGGCAACAACTGCTTTTCCCATGAATGGAAATAAGGCTTATGGGTCACACTCGAAGATGCAGTACAGTTACGTCTTGAATACACTGAATAACCAAGATAAGCAAAACCCAAGATGGTTTACAGAAAGAATGGAAGGCCATGTGAAGATGCTTTTCCTCCCTGCTTAGTTTCACCACTCCTTGTGACTGTTTAGGGTGGTAAACAACGAGGCAAGTGAAAYGTGAGCATCCTTGCTTCAGGCTTCACTAAAAGCACAGCCAAAGAAAGAAGTTGGACACAACCACGTGCTGGGTAACAGTGAGCTCTTGGGGTGATGTAGATTCAYGATAATGTGCCCCAGGGACCAACTATTGCATCCATGGGGAGCAAAAACAGTCACAGACACCTGTTGTGCCAAATAATTGACACTTTTTTCATCACTGCATTTTCACTTGTCCAGAGCTGTGTTTTTAATCACATCACAGAAGAAACCAGAACAAATTGACTCAGAATCATGGGCTAAAACAGCCAGTGAACTGTRAACAACTCTTCCAGTAGTGGATGCACAACACTTAAAGGCTCTGTCTGCATTAAGTGATTGTGGTGGGAAAATTGTGACCAACTAACTCCAGTGAGCTTTAACACTTTCCTGACAGATCAGTGCTGGCCCAGGCAAAAAATCAGCTTTCACCTGGCTGTAAGGAGCTGCACTAGGGGCAGATTATGAACATCAAGATTGTCTCAGATTGTCTCATGGAAACACAGCTGGCTGGAGGCAGACAAGGCATCCCAACAAGAGGCTCCAACGCCTCTTTGCACAGCAATGCTCCTCAGCCAACAGAGCCCTGGAAAAGGTTCTGAAGTTTGCTTTGGGGCAGGATTAGTTTTCCTTTTGCTAGGGAAGCTTTGTTTTCAGACCMGTTTTCACTCATTTTTGTTCACAGACTAAACAATTTAAGCAACCTCAGGGGCCAAAGAAGGATTTTTGGTGGTGATGTACAGCGCAGAGTGTGTACCTGACAGGCAAGCCAGCATCCCTCAGGGACTTGGCTGTTCCTCCGGAGGCAATTAAACCCAGGCCAAGCGCATGCAGGCTCTTCGCAAATTCCACCAGGTTGGTCTTGTCAGAGACGCTGAGTAAAGCTGGCAAGGGGGAAGAGCACGAGTGTTGGCGTTTTAACAGTGGAACAGATAAAACAACAAGACTAAGCGAGTTCAGCTCTCAGTAGTTGAGGAGCGTATGCGGTGCGCGGTGCCCGGGAAGCGCAAGGGGAGCAGCACCAGAGCCTCGCGCTTCTCCTCAGGGGAAGCCGCCCCTCAGGCGAGGCCGCGGCTCAGGGCTGAGGCCCCATCGCCTCAGCGCCCTCCCGCTCCCCGAGCCCTGTACCCAGAACAAGGCACAACCGGCCCGGGGTGGGGGAAACCAGCGGCCGCCCGCCCCGGCACACGGCGCGGGAACCAGCGCTGAGGGGATCGGCCTTCCGGGGCCGCCCCGCTGAGGCGAGCGGCGGCCATTGCGGGCCCGGCGGCAGGGCCCCCCTCAGCCCCTCACGGCCACCCTCCCCGCGGCCATCGGCGGCCGGAGCCCGCCCCGCGTTACCGAGCTGCTGCCGCGTGGCCATGGCGCCGTCGGTGGGTGCAGGAGGGCGCGGAGGCGCGGAAGGGACGAGCGGCGGCGGCCCGGCGGGATTTGGGCGCACGGGGGCGGGAGCGGGAGGGGGCGGCCCGGGCGGGGCGGGGAATGGAGGGGGGCGGCCGTGCCCGGGTCGAGCGGCGGGCACGTGTTTTTGGGGACACGCTCGTGTCCCCGGGGTGCGACAGCTGTGCCCTGGAGGGTGAGGATACACCGTGGTTTTGTGTGCGACACCTGTGTGCCCGCCGCACATGTGCTCAGCGCATGTGTGTGCGCGACATGGGTGCACCAAACATACAGAAACACACCCACATACACACATAYRTATGTGTGCACTGACATGGGTGTACCACACATACAGAATTTCCCCCTGTGAGAACCCCAGCTTAGTACCCAGGTGRAAGACGAGGTGTGGGTGAGGCAATGCCTCATCAGCAGTGGAAGGTTGTGCAGTAAGGACCATTAATTTTTTTTTCCAGGAGTTCGGACAGGAGTTTCWTCTGTGGAAAATCCTCTTGCAGAGCTTCTCCACGGGCAAAGGCAAAACACTCATTTGCCAAGTCTGAGGTAAAAAAAAAAAATCATTTGCAGATAGTAAAATGATGCTTTTCTTCCTTTATATATTATTAATTTCCCACTGTAAGGAGATGTGTCAGGGGTAGTTTTTTTCCTTTACGTGTCTYCAAATTTCCTGATACTCCTTGCAAAATAGCTTTGTTTGTTTTTGTTCCAGYTTGTGATTCACAGGTTGCCTGAACATGTTGGCTTTAACTGGTTAAAATCTCTGCTGTGCCACTGTACACCCCAGCAGGGTTTAGCAGGAGCACTGGGACAGCASCGCTTTGCAGGGAGAGAGCTCTGCAGTTAATTTGCAGCACAAGCCTTGGCCTCACCTGGTAATATTGAATCAGCAATAATGTCAGCATGGGCAGGCCCCTGAGGCATCCCTGTGTACTTCTGTCACRTTTTCATCGGCCACACAGGTGTTCACTGTACACCTGCAGCTCCCAGAGCGCTTACACTGCATCAGGCTCTCCACTTGCATTGAAAAAGAAGGAATAAATGAAAGCTTTTAGCTCTTGCAGGCAAAAAGGTGGGAAGTACAACGCAAGTGCAACTGGAAGGCCCAGACACTTGGCTGTTTTGATTTGTGAGTCTCTGGGCTTGGRTAGTATTGTCTATGTGAGGAAGAGTCAAGCCAGAAATACCAAACAGACCGAATAAACCCAGTGTGTGTATCATGCTCAATAGCAGCTAGTGACAAGCAGTAATAAATTACTGCTCAGCAAGGTGGCTGGGGCCAAATGAAAATATACTGTTAAGTGGTACCTGAGCACAATCATTATGAAAATATGYACCTTGGAGAGAATAAAAGTTGTGCAAAGAGTACAGCTGAGGTGGGCTTTGGTGATGATTAATGTATGAGCAAATGAACAGTTTGACAGAGCACCGCATTTTTATCCAACATTGGAGAGCGACTGTGCATATTCCAGCACAGTGCCTGTGGTCCTGTCAGCCTGTGCACAAGGACAGGGACACTGTTCCTTCAGACAAACAGTGGGAGGGACATTATCTGTGTCAACAGTGGCTTTGGCTCTGTTGCCTGACCAGCAGTTCATTGTCCCTTGGCGCCTGGGGTGGGGTTTCTGTTTGCGCAGGAGTGGCAGGGGGTGGTTTGGGCTTAATCCTTGTCCCAGCACAGGATGGACATGGAGCTGTTGGAGCCAGTCCAGAGGAGGCCACCAACATGATCAGAGGGATGGGGCACCTCTGCTGTGAGGAAAGGCTGAGAGAGTTGAGAGTGTTAGCCTGGAGAAGAGAAAGCTTTGGTGTGACCTAATTGTGGCCTTCCAGGGCCTGAAAGAGCCGACAAGAAAGATGGAGAGAGACTATTTACAAGGGACCTGAGTGACAGGAAACGGGGGAATGCCTTCCCCCTGACAGAGAGTAGGATTAGATGGGATTTTGGGAAGRAATTCTTCACTGTGAGGGTGGAGAGGCCCTGGTATCGGATGCCTGGAGAAGCTGTGGCTGCCTCATCCCTGGAAGTGTTCAGGGTCAGGTTGGATGGGACTTGGATCAACCTGGGATAGTGGGATGTGTACCTGCCCATGTCAGGTTTGGAACTGGATGATCTTTAGGGTCCTTTCCAACCCAAACCATTCTACATCCAAGAAGAAATGTTATGGCTTTGTGCTAGAGGGATGTCTGGATTTGGATTGATTGATTGTGATTGATATGTCCTGGTTTGGGGATGGCTTTGCAGGGAAATCAGATAYTCTGCCTCCCCAGAGATTTAGTTTTGCTTTATAGAGCTTAATTGKTTTTGGTGATGTTTAAAGGATATTCAAATATCCTGTACTCTACTTGTCCCATCATTTATTCAATAGGAATGAGGTCTCACTGGAGCTTTTTCCCGGTGTTTTAAAGCATTAGAGAAGCTCGTCCTGAGCCAAGAATGCAGTAACATCATATTGGAAATCATGGGAAGAGGTAAATGCTAGAATTACAAATACCACATTAAGGTTATTTCTAAATCATACTAGGGCCTACATCCAAGAAAGAAAAATCAGGCTTAATTAGCACTGTGTTCTGCTGTGTTAATAAGGAGAAGTAAAAAGAGGATGAAGCTGAATAGAGGCACACAAAAGGGATGGYGTTGCTGGTTTTGCTGTTGTTAGGACAATACCCAAGATTCCCTTCTCTGAGACAGTAGGGAGCAAGTGATGATTTTTAGCTTGGCTCTGTTGTGAGTCTGTTTTCTATTGTTGGGTTTTTTCATGTAGCAGACTGAGAAGAGTGCAGAAAAACAGGTCAATTTTGCTGTTGATTAATTTGTTAGGGTGGGAAGCAAACAAGTTAGGACTCTCCAGATAATCCTGCAGCTGCCTGTGGGCTARCAGAGGGTGGGCTGGGCCCGTCAGTGGACAAGGAAGACCCAGCCAAAATGTAGGATTCCATCCAGAGTGGAAGCCTGTGGCTGGTCTGTTTTGGGGCTCCAGAGRTGAAGTGTTATGAGTGGTGAGCATTACACCAGTAGTGTGATCTGGGTCTGCCCTACCCCAGGAAAGGTGTCTCATCACCATGAGGCTGCTTTGGAAAAACATGTTCTTGTGGGYATCTCTGCCTGTATGAGCACAATGCTCAGCTTTGAAATTCCCMATCATACAAAGTTATCTTCCTTCATCAGGCTCTGCTTTTATTTGTATACCTTCACACACTTTTCCTCAACAACCTCTTGCCTCTGCTATGCTCTGAGTTGCCCTCAAGCAAAGGTTGTGGTGTTTAAYATGATGTAAGACAAATACATCTCTGTCCTACTCAGGCTCCTGTTTTTTTTTCCCTGGAAATTATTTATATGGGAAGTAAAGCACAGATGAGGAAGATGTTGCATGCACAAGGAGCATTGCTTCTTCTGCATTGCTCTGGTATCTCATATCTTCCATGGGGTGCTGATTGCCAGGCACTGGGCCTCAGTTTCACCAATCTCCAGAAGCACTTATCCATGCTTSTCACTCAGTATTATGGGATAGCTTGCTGCAAAGTTCTCATGCAGGCTTCAAGTACCCTGTCTCAAATGCTGCACAGCAGTGGAGGTGGCAGTGGAATCTGATCCAGGCTATTTCTCAAGGGTTGCTGCCATATCCAGGCTTTTGGTTTGTCTGCCTTTTGCTCTCAGGGTTTATGGGAACTGCAGGGTAAAATCTTTTTTGTGTTTTCCTAGAGGAAAGGAGTGGCTAAGTATTGCTCTGTTGAATCTTGCTCAAGAGCTGCATCACACTGCCTGTGCCACTCGCTACAAGTTAACTCTGGGGTACCTTCAGCACGGAGCTGATGAACAGGCTGGCAGGGAGTATTCCACAATAACAGAGARGCTCAAAAGCCCTGATGCATTTTGAGTTTCTTTTTCAGCCCTTATCAGCTTGGAGCAGCTTTTGTTTTACTGCGTTCCTTGGAGGTCCCAGTTAAATCACATCCGTGGCGTGCCGGCTGTCAGCTGTCCTTGTAAATCCCTGCTCAGGGTCCCACGGAGCTGCTGAGGTGACAGCGAGCCTTTCGCTAAAATTCAGACACACAAAGAGCTCTGCACATTCAGTTTGACCTGGGGTGTGAAGGTTAAGTCCCCTCTTCACTCATCAGCACCAGTGGTCAKTTTCCCCAAACCTTTGACATCACTGTCTGATGCTTTTCCTGCAAAAGAACCAATTTCCTTGTAACAGAATAAATATTGCAGATTTCAGCCTGAGTTATTCTCTTAATGCTCTGGGTTATGAATGAGACCCAAAGGTGCATAAACCGAACAACGATTTATTTTCTGAACATTCCCATTCCTTTCCTCCCAGAGGCTGGTTCCTATCCAAGCATAGAAGGAAAAATAACACTAAAAAAGTAAGAAATAGTTTCTCATGTTGCAAACTCTGTACCTATTCTATGGTCTGAACCCCACATATAGGCTGAACAGGTCTGTTTGCAATTGCTAATACGGGGTTTGCAGTAAAAAAAAAAAAATCCCATGCACTTTGAAGTTCCTTCCCTTGAACTATTTGTGTGAAAGGAAGWATTTCCAGAGAAAGGAGGAGGAAATATTTTGTTTGGGTGTTTTTGCTGTAGGTGCAAAGAAATTATTCACAAATAACAGGTTGTTTTACCTTTTCATAGCACCATGGAATAACAGAATGGTTTRGGTTGGAAATGACCTCAAAACTCATTTCATTGCACTTCCTGTCACAAGCAGGGACACCCTCCACTATCCAAGGTTACTCCAAACTCTGTCCRACCTGGACACTTACAGGGATGGGGCAGCCACAGCTTCTCTGGGAAATTGAAATCACTGATTCTTTCCCAGAGGAGCTGGTTTTATCTGGGTCTCCTTTTGCCCCAACTCTTTGGATACCAGCGTTTGTGTCCCTGGGTGACAGGGCTGCTGCCGGGAGAGCAGTCCTGCCGGGATCCTGCCGGGAATGCTGCCGGATGTGCAGGGAACCGGCTCCCACTAGAGCGCGCTAGGACAGTTAAAATGGGGCTGGATTTCTGCTGGCATCAGGGTAGAACCATCAAAGATGCCTATGCAAGGAGTGGCACTTCYGTTTTTAAGCAGGGATTCTGGCTGAATTCCCCATCTTTTGGGTATGGTTTCCCTGGATGAGAGTGCAGCAAAGCCARCTGTAGCTGCCTGAGAGCACTGAGGTTTGGGCTGGGTCAAGTGCTTGCAAAAATCTCTTGGAAGACCCTGTCTGTACGCAGAGGGCAGGGAGAAKCTTTGTCCTCATCTCAGTCCCTTTGTTTGCTGCTCTGTAAAGCAGAGAAAGTGGAAATCTTGGACATAGATAGGGATCCATCCAAAGTCTCATTGTTGGTCTCCTGTTRTCATTTGTGCATTTTGAAACTACCCCTAACAAACTTGCCCATCTTCACAGGAGAATTCCCTGCCTCAACCCAGGTTCTGAGACCCCTGTCTGCTACCCTCATTTGCTTCATGTTTACTTAATTAGCCAGCTGGAGCGTAATTCCTTTCATGATCTACGGTCTAATACATAAAGATGACAATGACATGAATCTTGGCTTAGGTTTCAATTTGCATGTTAATTCATTGTGGTTCCCCAGATAGCTGGAATTTGCTCCAACAGGATCTGGGAGATGATGAAATGGGCGGAGTGCTCTCCTGTATCCCAGTGAGGGCCTGGAGCGATAGGTGACATAGTTAGGTACACTTGGCATCATCTCTTGTAGACCTACAGCAAAAAGCAAAGCAAAGTTGAAAAGCAAAGCAAAAATCATAATTGAGGAGGTTTTTCTCAGTACACAATGCAAACAGAGTCACGGCTCTGATAGTTGAGAAGCATCTGGAAATTGGTGAAGCTTGGTGAGAAAGCCTGCAACAGATTAAGAAGGAATACTGATTTCACACAGCAATCCAACCCCAGTCATCTCTGGTTCACAAAGCCTTTGACACACTTATCTAGAGAAGAGAGAGGCTCCAGGAAACTGATTTCCCTGAGTGGAAGACAAGCCCATATTGGCTCTGAAGGGTTTAGGCACAAACCCCATCACTACATGAGATTCATCCAGGAGCTGGCTGACAGGGAAGGAAATGCTGTGAGCCTGCGTTCAGTTCCAGCTCTCTGGGGGACCCAGGGAAAGCTCTCAGGCTCACAGGAGGCTGACAGAAATGCAGGCAGAGCTGCCATTTTCCAGCATGCCTGAAAAAAACAGCAGCTTGCCAAACGTGGCACAAGGAAGCTCTCCTGGAAAGACAGCTTAGGTGGTTATTTATGTGTTACACTGGAGCTAACTGAGAGCCAGACCCTGGAGAGCCGGCATACAGGATAAAAACAGGGCTTGCCGCAAGACCCTGTGAGCTGAATAGAAATCATGGCTAAACAGGAGGATGGGAAAAGAGACACACATGGCCAGCATCACACAGCAGGCAG